GATGCAGAGGAAAACCCAGGTCCTGACAGCAGTACTAAGGAACTGCTGCAAGAAATATTAGACAAACAAAAGGAAATAGCTAAAGATTTAGCGGAAATTAAAGCAAACGAAAGAACCGCGGATAATAGGCTTCGGGGAATAGAAAATAGGCTTGGTCGACTAGATGAAATCTCAAAAATGATTACAGAAAACAAAAATAAGCTCGTTGAGGTCACAGTTACCTCGCTAGAAAAAAACCATTGAATTGCAGCAACAAAGGCTAAGTAACCTTGAAGATAGAGAGAGGCGAAACAATATGATTGTGTTCGGCATTCCAGAAGCGAACAATGAGACAGCTGCAGATTTGGAACAGAAAGTGATAAGAGATATCGTCTTAGGACAACATGGTGTAATTGTGACGTCTGTTGAAAGAATCCATCGTTTGGGCCCGAAACGACACAATAAGAACAGACCCGTCATCCTCAGGATGTATAATTACACCGAAAAGCAGCTGGTGTTCAAGAACTGCAAGAAACTGAGAAATACCCTCGTGAGCGTGTCTGATGACTGTTCAAAAGAGACAGTGGAAAAGCGACGGCAACTTTGAAACTCGGCACGACAAGAAAAAGAGAAGGGAGATAAAATGCGACTTCTGTATGACAAACTTTTCGTAACTGACGTAGCTTACGTGTGGGATTCTGTAACGAACACACGCATTCAACAGAATGCGCACGTCATACCAATAGCCTCTCAGCCAAATTGACATAAAAGGAAAAATGATTGAATAATCACAATAAACGCACAAAGTATACTAAACAAACCACCGGATTTGGAATATATTATTATTCAGCATGATCCACATGTTATTGACGTATCCGAGACTTGGCTACATAGTAACATTGCCGACTCCGAATTATTTCGAAGGGACTGCAGCGTGCTACGGAAGGATAGAGAAACTAGTGGAGGAGGCGTTGCCATTCTCATAAGGGACTCTTAAAATATGAGGCGTTGTCTGGTATTAACGACCATGAGAGCGTATGATGTAAACTATTCTTTGACGAGATGGTCTTCCTAATTGGTGGCGTGTATAGGGCCCGAGCACTCGAATTAATTTCCTCGAGAAAATAGACGATTCTTTAAAAACACTTGTGAAAAACAGAACTAATATTATTCTAACCCGCGACTTTAACCTGTCACATATTGATTGGCACGAACTAAGCCCAGGCAGAGGGGATAGATTACATGGAGAAAATTTGTTTGATATAATGCTTAAATATGGACTGACACAAGTAGTTCACGAACCAACCAGAATTCAGGGGTCATGCCAATCTGTATTAGATATCTGCCTGGTATCTGATTACTTTTCGAATCACAAAGTGTGTGTAAAGCACGGAATTTCAGATCATAAAATGGTTATCTTGACAATACAGTTGGGCAGTCTACGCTTTCAGAAAACGGACCCTAAAATTGTTAGTGATTTCACACGAGCTGACGGTACATCAATATTAGGTTATCTCGAACTATCTTTAGGCCGCATAGATAAAACTAATGACGCAGATTATTTATGGGGCTATTTCTCAAAAGCAGTCGCTTACTGTCTTGCAAGATTTGTTCCAAAAAAACAATAAAAAGAAACAAGTCTAATCCATGGATGACACGGGACATGATTCACCTTAAACGTAAACTAAAACTAAAAAGAAAGCAGAAAAATAAGAACGCTCTAGAGATTGCTAATCTAAGCCGTGAAGTACGATCAGAGGTCAAGGGTGCTAGAACAGAGTTCTATTCGACTACCTTGAACGATTACTTAAGCGATTCGCCACGCAGATTCTGGCAGTATCTGTCATGTAAGGAACATAGAGTTAACGAAATAATAAAAGATGGAAAAGTATGCAGCAATCCAGCAATTGTGGTGACTGAATTTAATAGGTTTTTTTTCATTCTGCTTCTACCGAAGATAATGACCATGAAAGTGTCATAACTAATGTTACTGGCCTGCCTGAAACAGAGATTGTAGTCTCGTATGAGGGTGTTCTTTCTATGCTACTAAATATCGATGTCAAAAAAGCACCGGGTCTAGATAACATTCGAAATGAATTTTTGAGGCGTTACTGTCTAAGAGTTACTGAGTTTTTAGTACTTATTTTTGAAGCGTCACTGAGCCAGAGGACGCTACCTATTGACTGGTTACTTGCGCGAGTAGTCCCTATTCATAAATTCGGGAGTCGACTTGATGTTGCAAATTATTGGCCGATATCTCTTACTTCTACTGCCTGCAAACTCCTCGAACATATTATTTGTAAACATCTCACAGAGTTCATCGAACAGAATGGCTTGTTTTACGAAAGACAACATGGTTTTAGAAGGAAGTTATCAACTGTCACCCAGTTATTTGAAACCATTCATTATTTCGCATCTTTTTTTAAATGAGCGTGGTCAAGTAGATGTGATGTCAATTGATCTGTCAAAAGCATTTGACCGAGTCACGCACTCGAAGCTACTAAACAAATAGTTGGATTTAGGGGTAAGTATGTCTATTGCTTCTTGGATAAAATCTTACTTGTCAAACAGATTTCCATTGGCTGAGATCGCGGGGGAAACTTTCACGCTACTGCCAGTCACTTCCGGGGAGCGGAGAAAAGCTCACCGGAGATAAGCTTACCGGAGATAAGCTCACCGGAGAAAAGCTCACCGCAGAAAAGCTCACCGGAAAAGTGTCGAATGCGGAGAAAAGCTCACTTAGATTTTGGTGCAAGTAAAAAAGTTCACTAAGACTGCCAGAAATAATCATTATTCCTACTTGTTTTCTTTTTTTTTGCCGAAACTGAATGAAACGACAAAAAAACTTTTGGTTTGTTGCGTTTTTATGTAAGAGAGGGTAAAAGCGCTAAAAACAACGGACAAGTTAAAGAGACGTACAACACAGAGCGCTACTTGCAACTGAAGTTTATTCCCAGGAAACACACATATATACACACCGTGAAATCGCGACATGTACTTTAGAAATGCGACATCACCCCCTCATCGCTCGTCTGTCCGCTATCTATTTTACAAAAGATTTCAAAAACGCCATCTCAGAGCCAAACAGGGCTATAGATGGGGCGCTCAAAAACGCCATCTCAGAGCCAAACATCAAAAACGCCATCTCAGAGCCAAACATCGTCCCATCTATAGCCCTGTTTGGCTCTGAGATGGCGTTTTTGAAATCTTTTGTAAAATAGATAGCGGACAGACGAGCGATGAGGGGGTGATGTCGCATTTCTAAAGTACATGTCGCGATTTCACGGTGTGTATATATGTGTGTTTCCTGGGAATAAACTTCAGCTGCAAGTAGCGCTCTGTGTTGTACGTTTTAGCGCTTTTACCCTCTCTTACATGGTTCTTCTGTCGTTTTTATGTATAACATCCTTCTGACTGGCGCTGTAGCTGAAGACCTTGACATTGTAGGGCATTCCTATTGTTTCCCATTTTTTTTCTGGGAACAAGTATTTCTCCGCTCTCTTTGTGAGAAATACAGTCTGCTTTTTTATTGGTCAGAAGCTGTATGGTTACGCAAGAGGAGCTAAAGGAAATTGCATATATAAACAGCACCTCCTATCAAGTGACCAGTCCTGCCTTCCTTGTGTCATGGAGGTCATTCTGACCAATAAGGGAAAGAAGAAAGTGCTTCTAGATGGGTACGAATATTGTATGAAAGTTACAAGAAACGACTGGATACGCTGGCAGTGCCGGTACCAACGAACAGGTTGCTGCAAGGGAGCCATCACCACCAATCTTGATGTAAGTACGAAATATCATACTTTTCGCTTGTGTGCAAGTTTTGCAGTAATGTTTCACTTTATTTGCACAAGCGTTTTTACGTAAAACTTTCTTTCGTTTTTACATTTAGAGTTACATATACATTATTGCTGACACAAATTTTTGTCATTTTTAAACGCAGATTACCCGCTTTTGGTCAGTGCAGGCGCACAATCATGCAAACAATCATGGCCTTTCTGATGTCACCAAACTAAGGAGCCAGCTAAAAAGGAAAGCTGTAGAGACCGCAGAACCTCCTAGCCGTCTGCTTACTTAGGCTTTGAGCAATTCAACAACATCCGTGCGCGAAAGCATCGGTAGCCTCGAGACTATTCGTCGTGACCTGCGCCAGCAAAGAAGTAAGGTGCGTCCGCCGGAACCCCAGACCACTGCTGATATTCAATTACGAGATACCTGGACAATGACCGGAGGGCCGGAAAAGCAACCGTTTTTGATCTATGACAACGGGCCGGAGAGGCGAGACCGCATGCTCGTTTTTGCAAGCCACGAACAGCTGCGGGCACTATCAACAAGCCGAACCTGGTACATAGATGGAACATTCTCGGTGTGCCCAAGACTGTTTAAACAGTTGTACGTTATGAGGTGTACAGCTGGGGAGAGCACCGTGGCGTGCGTTTATGCTCTGCTCCCAGGCAAAACCTTCTCCATATACGAAGAGCTTTTTCAAGCGATTTTGGACACGTGTGAAGCGAACGGTTATGCTCCATACCATAGCCTCCTCTATACGGAGAAAGCCTGGCGCGTCGCGTGAAAAGACGGCCGCCGTAAATGGGAAAGGAGGGGCGGAGAAACGGGAGCGGAGAGAACCTTGCCCGCTAGCGCCACAAAAAAGCGAGCGGCCAAACGCAGAAACAATCTTTTTTTTTTCCTCTCTCTCTTTTCTTGTCGCTATCGTGGAGAGGAGAAACTCAACGTCCACCCTTTCCCGTTTCTCCCTGCGCGCTTTCGAATCTCCGCGCCCGTTTCTCCCTGAGTAGGAAAACGAAGGTCACGAAAACACAAAAACAAGCGTGGTTCGGGGAGCGGCCGCTCATGACCCAAGCGCTCGCTGTCTAGGTCTGCCCTTTCTGCTCTGCGCTACCATATTGGTCACCGTTCGGCGCGCTCCTCCTCTCCTTTTTCCTGCGGCCACGCGCTCTATGGCTCCGTCGTCGATGTGCCAGGCTTCCTCCGTATAGAGGAGGCTATGTCCATACCCTGAGATCATCATTAGCGACTATGAGATGGCCGCCATAAGAGCGTCGAAAGCGGTCTTCGGAGAAGATGTCACCACGAAAGGCTGCTTCTTTCACCTCTGCCAGAGTACCCACCGCAAGGTAACGTTACTCCCAAAATAATCTTGAAAAGAAATATGGACGCCTCTAGTACCAACCATCTATGGCCAACCAACATAAAACCTATGATATGACATCAAAAACAAAGAAAAGGCATTTGACTAATTTTGAAGTGCTTAGCTCCCCAGTACCAAGATATAGCCTCTACGTCAAACTCAATTAATGCAACCGCATCAGGATCTCATCGTATCTCTTTTTGTTCTATTCGTTTTCAAGGTACGCGAGCTGGGCCTCATCAGCAGGTACAAGACGGACGACAGGTTCAAGAAGATGTGTGGAATGCTAGACGGCCTCGCATTCCTCCCTCCCGACCTTGTTCCAGTTGGGCTGGACTACATCCGTGGTCAGGCTCCAACAGACCTCGATGACCTCATCGACTATTTTGACGCGACGTATGTAAACGGAACGTTCCGAGCAGTGTCATCGAGAGTAGCCGATGGCGCATTAACCACAACGATGCGCCGACGACGCCCCGAGTTTCCGCCGACAGTGTGGAACGTGTTAGAAGCCACATTAAACAACGAAGACCGCACAAATAACGCATGCGAAGGATGGAACAGCGGGTTTAAGAAGCTTGTCGGGCACAGCCAGCCCAGTATATGGAAGCTGATCGACTGCTTGCAACAAGATCAAGCCCTATCGGAGGTAATACTGCTGCAAATAAGCCGTGGGGAACCGCCGACGAAGAAGACCAAAAGGGCGACAAGGCGCCTACAGGACCGCCTCAGGAACATCTGCCTGGACTATCTTGAGCACAAACAAGTTCCAGCCCTTCTGGAAGCGGTCGGAAATTGTATTCGATTCTAACGTGCGTGTATGAAAAAAATAATTCATGTTTGAGAGAAAATAAACGCAAATCATTCAATTTATGACTCCTCTGTGCAAAATCACTTTCGCTCTTTGATGCGGAAATAATATCTGGAAGTGAAAATAGACGAGTCACTCATTGAGCGTGGTGAGCTTTTCTCCGCCTTCTCCATTGGTCCGGTGAGCTTTTCTCCGGTGAGCTTTTCTCCGGTGATTTTTTCCGGTGAGCTTCTCTCCGGTGAGCTTTTCTCCGGTGAGCTTTTCTCCGGGAGAAAAGCTCACCTCAGGGCTTTGTTTTGGGGCCAATTTTGTTTCTTGCGTATATAAATGACATTGCAAATGAAATTCATCCGTCTGTTGAAGTCGGCATTTTTGCAGACGATTGTCTAATGTACATAAAAGTTAATTCACAAAGGGAACAAGTGCTATTAAACGACACGTTAGTGATTATGCACGAGCGGTGTCACAAATGGGATATAAAGATAAATTTTGAAAAGACAACTTTTGTAACAATCAGGAAAAAGAGGTCAACTATTATATTTCGGTATTTCTGTAATGATGCACTTTTTAAACGATCCGAAACTTTTAAATACTTAGGAGTCACAATTTCTAACGATCTAAACTGGAAGGTACATATAGAAAATGCCTGTAGTGCGGTTTTGCGAAAACTTGGTTTTTTAAGACGGACACTCAAATATATAACGCCTGAAGTTAAATTATGTGCGTACGAGACTCTAGTTCGATCATCTCTTGAATACGCGTACGTGATCTGGGATCCATATGTCAAATATCAAATAGAACAACTTGGGCGTATCCAGCGGCTTGCAGTAAAATTTGTTTATTTAGAGTATCGCCGCACGGAATCGGTAACAGAACTATTAAAAAAAAGCGGGGCTGCCAACCTTGGGTCAGCGGAGAAAAATTCGAAGGTTAAAATTTTTCAATCAACTCTACAATGGGCATTATAGCAGTTCGAGTGACTATATACAGCTTCCTTGTAGAAGGTCACCGAGAGTAAATAACCAGTTTGGAGTCAAGCCGTATTTCCCAGATCTCGATGTTTTTAAGTACACTATTCTCGTAAAAACAATTGAGGAGTGAAATAGTTTGGATCCCCTCTTTGTTGAGATTGACAGTGCCGATAAGCTTGAAAGTGTATTATGTGATTTTTATGCGGAGACATACTAGCAGAGCTGGCCAAATTACTCATATTTTGTAATTAAATTACATTACTAATTACTTTGCTGAAAATTGCTGAAATGTAATTAAATTACATTACAAATTACCACAGCCAGAAAGTAATTAATTACCATTACAAATTACTTTTAAAAGTAATTACATTACTTTCGCATTACTTTTGTATACTTGTAAATATAAAGGAGCTATTGATAACTTCCTTTTGCAGATAACTTTATTTACATTATTTACACAGTTCATGGCGCACAGCTAGAACTCTCTGTTGCATGTTTACCGATGGACAGAGGAACGCACGCGACTGATCCGTTTCCCACCCCAACCCGGACAACTATTTTTGGAGATGAGTGAGGACCCTACGCGGATTATCTCTGGGAGGGGGGAGAACAATTGTCATTGTTCGCAAAATCGCGTCGAGGGCCGTTCCACCAGGGGCCTTAGTTCGACCTACTTCCCCTCCTTCGTTTCCCGAGAATGTCGAGCAGGAAAGCTCGAATGCCAGGCACTTACCAGCCCTATTTCTCACAGTGGAAGATAACACAGAGAGGGTACGCAGCATGCATCAGAAAAAGTAAGCGGAAACTTTCAAGAGGGGCCAGAAAACGTCGAATGCAAAACCGCAAAACATAGGTAGAGAGTCGCGCTGGGCGGGTTTTCACAGTTCAACAGAGTGGCAGAAAATGTCTAGCTGATAGCGGGCGCGAGAGTCGCACCAGCCGCATTAGCATCAGCAACATAGCGGCGGCCAAAGAGCGTTTTTTGGAAAGGTATAGAGGAAAAAGAAAAAGTAAAATAAAAAGAAAAGCGCTCTTGTGTATTGCGGACACAAAAATTATGCCTGGTGCGAAAAAGTAATTCGGTAATTTAATTACAATTACCGTCGCTGGAGTAATTCATTACATTACTAAATTACCTGCTACAAAAAGTAATGAATTACATTACTAATTACTGGAACAAGTAATTAAATTACTGTAATTTCATTACAGTAATTACATTACTGCCAGCTCTGCATACTAGTATTCTTTGGTGGTGGTGACTTTTGGTGGCGTTGTTCAACCGCAATTGTACTCAAATGATTGTATTGTGGTGATTTTTCTTGATCTTCGGTTCTTTGTTTCTGTTGTTTTATTGCTGTACACTCCTGAAACAGCCCGAAAGGGCTTTCAGTATTGTAAATAAATAAATAAACAATATCGGTATCAGCGAAGATTTTTTTCCTTTTCGACTCGTTTGGCCCGAAGGAAGCTAATTGAGTTCGGGAAATAGCATGGAACTACGTTTAAGCTAAACTACAACAAATTATATCTGAATGAAAAATATTACGTCTATGAGCGCAAATCGGGAACCGTCACCGAACCGTTTCGTCCACATGCCTCCAACAGTGGTCCACGACATGGCACAACTGTTACTGTAACAGAAGGCGCATCCATTCCTACTTAACAATGGCAGAGGGGTAGTGGCCACCTGCATTCCTTGTCAAACGTATCTATTGTTTCTACAAATATACGGAGCTTATTAAATAAACGTGATGATTTATATTCTGCGATTGACTCCTGCGATGCTAGCATTATTGTGCTAACCGAGACGTGGCTGTCGGCAAGAATCGGGGATATCGATTATTCCTAGGACAAAACAATTCGCTACCTTTTGGCAGGACAGAGTTTCGAACAGGCGGAGGCGTGCTAATTGGAGTAATTAAGAGTATACCATCATTTGTTGTTAATATTAATAGCCCCTTGGAAATAATTTGGGTGTGTATCAACGTTCAACATAAAAATATATATATTGGCATGCTGTTATCGTCCCCCTTCATATGTCTCTGATTGTGCTGATAAACTACACGATGCATTGAATGTGATTATACGCCCTTCCTTTTGATAGGTGATTTTAATTACCCTAGCATTGTTTGAGACCCGGGAGATCCCAACTCTGACCTATTTTCAGCAGACTGTTCGAAGTTTTGAAGTGTGCTTTCTGATTTTCATCTTACTCAGCTAGTTCATAGCCCAACTAAAATGACTTCAAACATTTTGGATCTTGTTTTGACTACGATGCCGAACCTGATTGGTCCAATCATATACCTACCTGGCCTCAGTGACCATTGGTTATTACATTTTACCCTGAGAGTTCCTAAAATTTGTGTTAAAAACCATAGAAAAGTCATTCGGGACTACAGCAAAGATAATTATGATGCTATTAATATTGAATTATACATTTTTTAGATACTTTTTGGGGTAACTTCTAGGAATATTTTGTTGAATCCAACTGGGCGCGCTTTAAGGAACTGATAATTTTGTTCACTGAGAAATATTAACCTTTCATAATCATAATCGTAAACTCTAATTATCCGTGGTTCAACAGGGTGCACCTGAGATTGTCAAACAAAAAGAAGCGTTTATTTAGAGCTGCGAGGCACACATCCTGCTCAGTTCGCTGGCAGAATTATTTCAGTGCTGCTCAGTGCTACAAGAATGCTGTTCAGTCTGCTAAGTTCAACTTCTTCTCCTTACTACCTTCCAGGTTAAAAAATAACCCGCGTAAGTTCTGGAATCTGTCGTCCCATCGAGATAGGTCTTCGTCCATTTTATTGAAAACTACCGACGAAACTTTGATCGATGAATCCTTATGTGCCACCATGTTTCAGGAAGTGTTCATTCGATCTTTTTCTAACACCCAAGGCAATGTGAACCCAAGCTACAATGTTGATCCTTTCCCACTCATGGACCCTATCATAATCAGCCCCGATGGTGTTCTGAACCTTTTAAATGGCCTAAAGCTGTCATCGGCTACTTGTGTCTACGAAATTAACTCGAACTTCCTTCAAGCTACTAATCAGTACTCCTCTGTAAGTCTCGCCTATATTTTTCAGCAATTGCTTTACACATCATTGGTATTTTGCGACTGGAAAATTGGTAAAGTTATTCCTCTGCGTAAATCTGGCGATAAGCACTTTCCTATCATCTATAGGCCCATCTCGCTAACCAGCGTTCCCTGTAAAGTTCTAGAACATATAATTTATACGCAACTTGTTAACTTCCTAGAGTCAAATTCATTTTTCTCCCAAAATCAACATGGCTTTAGGAAATCTTTGTCCTGTGAAACACAGCTACTGTCTAACGCTAACAATTTTCATTCAGCATTTGATCAGGGATATCAAATGGACTGCATATTCTTAGATTTTGCCAAGGCGTGCGACAAGGTATCGCACAGACTTTTATTGCACAAATTAAGTAAACTCAACGTTGATTCTAACGCGTTTAACTGGTTGGTATCATTTTTAATAAATCGTTCGCAATTTGTAACATGTAACGGCATGAACTCCTCCTCCACACCCGTCACTTCTGGCCTACCCCAAGGAGCAGTTTTGGGGCCTTTACTTGTCCTGATCTATATTAATGACTAGCATGAGATGGTTTCTTCTTCAATTAAACTCTTTGCTGATAATTGTGCTATTTATCGTGGGATAACTAATGACTCGGGCTCGCGAAAACTACAACATGACTTCGACTCCATATTTAGATGGTGCAAACTCTGGTCAATGGAGCTTAACAATAACAAATGCAAAATCATGCGCATAGCCAAATTTACTACCGCTTATAATATTCAAAACACACCCCTGGAACTTGTGGCCTCCTACAAGTACCAAGGCGTGATCTTAAGGGACGACCTTTCCTGGAAACTTCATATTAACTACGTGATTAACAACGCTAACTGAATGCTTGTCTTTCTCAAACGTAACTTTCCTTTAGCTCCGTCGTCATTAAAACTGACTCTTCATAAAACACTAGTTAGGTCTAAGCTCGAATATGCAGCTTCCATCTGGGATCCCTCAACCATTTACCTCATCAACTCACTTGAAGGTGTTCAGAACAGAGCTACGCGCTTTATACTGGCCAACTATAACCGCACCTCGAGCGTAACGTCAATGAAAAACATATTACTTCCAACCCCCGCACATCGTCGCATGGTTTTTCGAATCTCCCTCTTTCATAAAATCTACCACCATGTCCCTTACCTCAAAGCCGAAATTATAATCCCCCATACTTTCTTTTAGCACGCCTTGATCATCGTCACAAAGTTGGTGTACCATTTTGTCACTCTAACGTTTATTATGCGTCTTTTATTCCGAGAACTTCTAAAGATTGGAACGGCTTACCTGCATCTCTCACATAAATTACTGACCACGCTTCCACGGAGTTTTCACGTTCACAATTTTCCACCACTTGAGTATGATGTCGATGAAAGTAGCTGTGGCCTCAAATGAGAACAGGTTGTGCTTCGCTCCAAGAGCACGCAACGCCACAGGCAAGGAATCATTGAAGATTTGCAAGGCAAGCTTTACGTTCCGCCTTTCAATATTCGACGGGCAAAGGGCTTTTCTCGATAGCCCATAGCCATATTTCAACAGCTGGTCACATTCTTTGCTGTGAAGGTCCCTGATTGTCGAAAATGACGCTGTTTGCATGCGCTCTGAGTGCCGCATTTGTTTGCATCTCAAGGAAGTAGAAGCAAACTTGGTCGTTCTTCTGGTTGATCCAGTTGTTTCGTATGCATTTTACTATGTGTACCGGGTCTATAACGAAAAACAGCGGCCTTGCAGGGTCTGATGGGTGTTGATACACAATTCTGTTAGAAGCGGGCGATTCGAAGTGGGACATTGCTTTTCTGTTTACAGAGTTGTCACTCACGACGCACACTACGCGATACCCAATCTTTTCCAGCCCGCAAATCACATCTTTCAGCATCTTGTGCAGGAACTCCGCGTCTAGTCTGTGCACTGGCACGATGTGCGCAACTTCTTTGAATTTGCACTTCAGGCTGCGCACCATGAAAACGAGCGCACAGTTTGCAGCCTCATTTGAGTTAAAGGGGTTGGGAAACGGAATTTCAGCGCTCATTTTTTGGTTTTAATGTGTTGCATGTTGCACCCTAACCTCAAAAACACCAGTCTTCCGTTGAAAAGCACAAGAAACCTAATTTTAAAGCTAAATAAACGATCTTTCAATGTGCACCTGGTGGATGCACGTCGAGCCTATTTGGGAGGTAGTCTAGCAACGTTGTGGAATCTGCTACGTAGTCGTGACGTAGCAGATTCCTTCGGAGCAGCGCCGCCTTTTGGATTTCCAACATTTTCCTTTTTAGCTTTCCTCCTAGCTCAACTCACAAATCGCGTGTTTTTGTTGTAAGCGTTGACATGAAATTATGGATAGAAAATAGAGTCATTGTACCAAGCGGTCCAAGAAGACGGAAAGGAAGGACTCCCCTCTTTCTCGAACCCTCGTTCGTGCAACCGAAAAAGCCACTCTCCCCCTAGAAGATTAGCCCGTCCCTCAAAACTCGAACAAAAGTTGCTTTCCCCACCCCGTTCAGCCCTAAGCTGACAGTGTTGTGGAAGCTACGTGCTCCTTGGGCCAGCCACACGCTCGTCACCCCATGGGTACTTCGAACGGCTCGGTTGTAACGCGCTGACGCTACTGACAACCCCACAACGCTGATAACGCCACCAAGGGCAAAGCTCATAAGCACGCCTGCCTTGCTACTCCACGAACGCGGGAAATCTTTTCTTTCTGGTTTTGTTTGCGCCGGACATCCCATGACGCATCGCGCTCTCCGCTCGCTTCTCTTCGAGCGCTTGCTCGAGTGCACCGTCTGGAACGAATAATATGGCCAATCGTTCAAAATACAAGCGTGCGATTATCATTTACGGTTATTGTCCGTCATGCTTGAATCCTTTCCGAACGAAATTTGAACATTTCAATTTTTGTTTCCGTACCCTTTAAAGGATGCATGCAAAGGAAAAAAACTTTTTTTTTTAACGGCTTAGATGGAAAAAGGACGCCATAAAACGATTTTACAACGAAGAAAAAAATTTTAGAGCTATATTTACGGCGCAAAACGAATTTGTAGTTGGCGCCCGCGCGCACCGCGGAAAAGTGGTCTGTATTTATCACGTGACTGGTCTTTATTTATCACGTGGTGCTTGCGTTCTTTCGGAAGCTTCTTATGGCCTCTAAAAGTAACTTATTCATCTTTGTTTGAAGTATAACAAAAAACTAAGATGAATAAGTATCTTTTAAAGCCCAAAGGAAACTCCTGAAAAAGCGCAAGCAGACGTGATAGACCTGTGCGCCGGCCAGACGACGGCGGCGGCGCCCCGAAGCAGACGAACTTGTGCGGCGGCGGCGACGGCGGCGTGGAGAAACGCGTTGAAGCGGCGTTCGCAGAACGCTCAGCGTGCGGCGGCGACGCAGCGCGGCGGCGCGCGGGCCTACCACGTGACCAGCGGCGGCTCCCGCGAGCGCCAACTACAAATTCGTATAGCGCCGTAAATATAGCTCTAAAAATTTCTTTTCTTCGTTGTAAAATCGTTTTATGACATCCTTTTTCCATCTAAGCTGTCTAAAAACATGTTTTTTTCCTTTGCATGTGTCCTTTAAGCGCAGCTCCGGTAATATTGCCCCCTTTGTATTCAAAGTAAGGTTTGATGTGTATTTCGTCTACCATTACGGTGACGAAGCGCTGGTCATCTTTGAGGTCAGAAATTTTTCTCGCCATGTAACTGAGGAATGCTTCACTCTGCTGCTCTTTGTTGAGGGCCCATGCCATAAGAGGAGCATACCGATCTGATCGTCATGGGATGCGGCAAAGTGACGCTTGCATGGCTGCGTATATAAGCGTATACGCATGGGGCGATATGGTGAAAAGAATGCAACAGAACGCCATGAAATCTGCAAAGTAGCGTCTGCGCTGTTTTTTCGCATGGAACTAGCTTACTTGCTCTCGCAGAAATCTAATGGAGTCGGCGTCGTCTTCTGCGTGGGACGTGGACAACTGATCCAGCAGTAGGCAAATAGCCTCGCAAATTTCCTTGATTGAGTTGGAAATCAGGTCCTCGTCCCACTTCTCGATGCCTTCGAGTTCTACTATACCCTTCTTACTGTCAGCAATTTTCGAAACAACCAGATTTGCACCTAACTTTTTTTACCGCCGGTTTCATGACATGTAGCGTCACGCCCATGTCTCCTTTTACGCAGACAGAGTACTTCAGCCACGGGGCCTCATCGTCGATGATGTGGGTAATAAAAAGCCTTTCGTCCTTTTATATTATGTTCCAAAACTTCATCTCTTGCTCCGCAAGTGTCCGATTAGTTCTCCTAAAGAATGGACTTTGTCCTTTTCATGTGCCCTGTTAAACATCTCCTCGGACTCCGCGATAGCTTTTTGCATAGCAGCGTGCTCCATGCGCGCCCGCTTGGAGTCGAGATCTTCTCCTCTTGTGGCTTCCCTAGACAGGTAGGTCGGGCAGCTAGGGAACTTCGTCGGTACAGCGTCAGGGCGAAGACGGACATGGGATAAGGGCACTGTGATGGTGCGGCCAGTACTTTTATCGGTATGCGATGCTTCTCGGATGATGTCCTCATGTCCGAAGTGAAGTTCGTATACCTAGAAAGGAATTTTGCGTCCAATGAACAAACCAAGGGGTATTTGACATAAAGCGCGGATTGCGAGCCACATTTATACGAATGTATGCATATATTGAATTTCCATTTCCAATGAAACAATTAATTCTCTACCAAAAAAAAGAAAAGCTTACCCTTGAATTCTCGATGACGGAGAGGTCTTCCCGTGGCACAGCGCGTATCCATGCGTCCCTCAGTGTTTGATCCTTTGGGAACTTGAACACGTACACTTTCGTGTCCACGGTGTAGTTTCCGCGGCATCGCGGCACACAGCACTTGCACGGCATCTCACCGTCACTCTTTTCACATTTCTCAAGCTTGCGAAGACGCGAAAAAACTCACTGCGACGCGCAAAACACGAGAAATTCGACAGAACAGATATGCACGTCGAAAAAGACACTCGGAAGCAGGCCGATTCTGCGGTGGACTGGTAGAGCTCACTGCTCAGCCGCACCTGCAATGGGGCGACATGCCTGGACAGGTCCGGACCCGTCGAGCCGCCTCTCGCAGCCGCCCCCATTAGCTGACGTAGTAAGAGTGGAAGGGGGCAGAACCGAGGCTTTCTCCCTTTCCAGTTGGTGTTGGCACGCCGCGCACATTGTTTAATAAATGTTGTTGAGTTAGTTGATTGAGCTTCAGCGGCCGCGAAGGCCGCCTGTAATTCCGTCTTCTAGTCCAAACGTGCAGAACATTTCGGTTGCATTGACGTTTTAGAGCGCAGCTCTTAGGGGCCCGTTTCCGGCTTGAGCGGCGTCGGCGTCGCCATCGGCGTAACCGCGCGGTGCATTATGGGAAATGTCCCATAATGCACCGCGCGAGCCCCCCACCGGGGTCACGTGACCTCGTGGAAGGGCACGTGACCCCCCCCGAGGTCACGTGACCCCCCCCCCCCCCCGAGGTCACGTGACCCCCCGAAGTCACGTGACTCCCCTGAGGTCACGTGACCCCCTCCTCGAGGTCACGTGACCCCCGCCGATGTCGCGTGACCCCCCGATGACGTCATCGTCACTGATGACGTCACCGGCATTCACATCGTCATCGTCATCATCACTGATGACGTCATTAGTGACGTCCTGATGATGTCACTGGCATACACGTCGTCATCGTGATCATCACTGATGAAGCCACCGGCATCCGCATCGTCATCGTCATCATCACTGATGACGTTACAGACATCCGCATCGTCATCATCACTGATGACGTCATCAGTGACGTCACTGGTGTCGTCACCGGCATCCGCATCGTCATCATCACTGGTGAAGTCATCAGTGACGTCACTAATGACGTCATCGGAATCCGCATCGTCATCGTTACTAATGACGTCATCAGTGACGTCAGTGATGACATCATCGGCATTGGGGGGTCACGTGACCCCCCCTGGTTAGTTGAACCCCCCCCCCAGTACCCTTCCCTCCTCCTCCTCAAGAGCTGCGCTCTAATTCGGCGTTACAGGGAGTTGTAAGCGGCTTTCATGTTTTTTATCACTAATTTTATCAAACGAGCAAACGAAGCCGCTAGAAACAGCGAAGTTCCGGAGCAGTGCCAGCAGCGCTACGTACACTGCATGGGTAAGATGCAACTAGATAGAGGGGCTTAGAGTGATAAACCGAAAGTTCGGAAGTGGCACCCCCCCCCTCCGGTTGCCGCCATGTTTTACGCAAATGTGACCACTCGTCACGTGACCTCACAAAAGGTGTGACGTCATCGGTAAGATGGCAGCGCCCAGAGCTAGTAAATGCGAGTTTGTTCGTTGCGCGGTAGCCGTGATGTGCAGCTGCTTCCGACGACTTCGGGCTTTTTTATGCTCGCTGACACAAGTATAATGTGAAAACATGAAGGAATGAGACATTATACCCTTTTTGCGCAAGATCGCTCTTGATCATCTGGATAGTAACGCCAGTAACGCTTGTGAGACAGCATCAGCCGTATGGCCATACCGGTGTTCGGATTACCGAATGTGTTCGAGGATTGATAGAACTCTGAGTGCTTTTAGCATGCGATTTTCGCATTCTCTTAGCTTTGGTTGAACGTTGGAATGTCTGAGAATCGACGCGAAATATATGCGTCGGACGTAGGGCCTAGGGGAATTCGTTTCAGCCCTAGGAAACTGCATAATCACAGCCAACTTTTAGCGAGGAAGTTCCTGCGACCTTTACGTATTGTGCTAATCGATGATTCTACATTCCCTCGCTTTTCTTCCTTTTTTTGTCAGTGCAAAGTGCACACTTAATTTCAGCTGCGAGGTAGACGTTTTATTGAGTGTGGGGATGAATAAATCGTTGCGGGCACCTGCTTTAAAGCTATTCAAC